GCAAGCTCCCCATCCCAGGTTCATGCCATTCTCTTGCCTCAGCCTCCTGAGTAGCTGGGACTACAGGCACCTGCCACCATGCCTGGCTAATTTTTTGTATTTTTAGTAGAGATGGGGTTTCAGCGTGTTAGCCAGGATGGTCTCCATCTCCTGACCTCATGATCCACCCACCTCAGCCTCTCAAAGTGCTGGGATTACAGGCATGAGCCACTGTGCCCAGCCTCAACAAGCTTTTTATTGAGCATCTACTATGTGGAAGTGGCAGAAATCCAGAAAAATTTTAAAAGTATTCTTTGCTCCCCAAAAGTCCACTTTCTAGTTGGGAGAAGATATTACTATTATATTGGTTGTAGAGATGTTACAAGAGAGTTCATAACTGAGTGCCAAGTGGGATACAGCAATAGTCTGTCGAGTGGATTCAGTGCAGGGATGAACCTGTCATGGTGCAGAAGGTAGACAGGGCTTTATAGAAGAGGGGAGATTAAGATGGCCCTTGAAGGAGAGTCATGCTGGAGGGGTAGGGGAAGCAATTAGTAGTTCATATATGGAGTTCAAAGTTACATTGGAAAGTGAGATCAGGGCGGGCAGACTTTGAATCATCCCATTTTGGGAGTTTTTACTCAGAGCCCTCTTTTATACCTTTATGAAGTGAGCAAAACTGAAAAGTTTCAAGGAATAAAAAGATGGTTGTAACATACACACTACTAATCACTTAATTTTATCCTGTAGGAACAGGGAGCCTCTAAAGCTTTTGGAGAAGAGATGTGAATGAGAGTGCCAGTTTAGAAAGGACGCTAGTTTGATCAGAGTTCACAGGATACACTGGTGGGTAGGATGAAGCAGGTGGCATGGAGACCAGGCAGGTGACCTCTGCAGTGATACAGGGGTAAGGTTAGGAGGGTCTGAACTCTAGTTACCATGGGAGAGAAGGGTGAGGTTTTACAGAGAAGGAAGTTAACTAAGCTGAGTTGTTAAGAGTAGGAGTAACTGATATTTTTGGTCCCCTTCCTCTCTGCCTGAAAAACTGTTAAGCACTTTACATGTTTTTAACTTTTACAGAAACTCTGTGAAGTGAGAGCTCTCATTATTCCCATTTTCAGATGAGGAAACCGAGGCTTGCAGGAGTCAAGTAACTTGACCAATGTCACATTGTAGGAAGTGGGAGAGCTGGGATTTGAACTTATACTTCAAACTCTTAACCCCCAAGTGTGCCTTACTGTCTGATTACTGAGGGGATGGGGTGTTGGGGAGTGGCGAGGAGAAGTAACTTTTTAAAAATACTGGAAATGTAACTTTTCAAAATAAATTTTTTATTATTATTTTCTTGGACTGAGTTAAATAACTAGTTTGAAATAGAGATGAATAAATTATATTTTCAAAAAGAAAAAAGAATAACTCTGTGGGTTAAAAGGGAAGTTCATGCAAAATGTCCTATCTTAAAATAGATGTGAATTTCAGAAATGCAACACATGATGTTGACCTTAATCCTCTTATTTACATGTTCTCATACACAGAGTACTGTAGAACGTGAGTCTGCCTCTGTGTACCTGTGTGTAGCTGTCACCCAGGGACTCGAACAAATGTAACTTTGATTCAAACTTGAGGGAAAAAATGGCTGCCATTTTGACTTTTAAAAAATTATCTGTTTATTTCCCTTTCTCTGTCGATAACTCCTAGTTGTAATGCTGAAATCTTATAAATACGGCACAGTTAACTTGCAAAAGGAGCTTAGTGTTCTCGGGGCAGTCCAAGTTGAACAACACATCATTTGGCACAATTTGGCGGGTCTGAGTTTAAGACAAATACAAGACTGAGAAGGTATAGAGGCTTTATTATTTCTAAGTGAGTTCATGTAGTGTACACGGGTTGAGCTGATCAGAACTCTCACCCGACCCTCCCTCTGCCCCATCCAAGGCGTTTATTCCTTATGCTTTCATAAGTGTCACATTCACAGCACAACGTTTCTCCTTCCCAAATAGGCATGTTGTTGTTTCGAATTAACATCTGTGCTTACTGCAGAATAGTGAATGCCATCTTCTTTTGCTCCGCTGGCCCTGATGGTGTCACTGAGGCTTTCAAAGCAGAGTGACCAGGCACAGCTATAGTTTTCTGCAGTTTCAGGAAAGGGGTGGAGGAGGGGAGGGCTTCACTGTCTAGTCCTACTGCTCAAAATGACACTGACACACAGAAGAAAAGGATATAACTGTAGAATTGCTTGAATTCTGGAGAAAAAGACGAAAGAAAACTGAGATGTGTCAAGTATCTATGTACCAATCACTATATTGTATAACTTGGTGGCCCTATACTCATTTCCAGATTTTGCCTAGCATAATTATAATATAATTCCCTTTCATTTTCAGAAATATCCTGGTTTGGATAATAAATTATCTTGTCACCCTACGTACACTCTGAATGATGACTCTTTAGGCAAAATCTTATTATTTCCATTGTTCACCTCTGGAAGCTGGGTCTCTGAGAGGTTAACTACCTCAAAGCCACACAACAAGAATCTGGCAACATAGATTTTTCTTTTGCTTCATCATGGTACTTCCCAAAGACTGTTTAATCTGTACCAAAAGAATAGTACTGACCTAATAGGACAAAGTAATTTATTTTCAAAGCTGTTTGCATGGAAAGCATGTTCCTTCAGTGTTTCCCAGTGGTGGGGAGCTGGATTCGTCCTGTGTTTCCAGACGCTGCCTCTCACTTTGTCCCCTTGTAAGACTAGGGGTGAAATATGGAGAAATAGATGAAGAACTGGTGGTCACAATGGAGGTTGTGATATGAGCTCATGGATTTCAGGAAAGGTAACAGAGCTATAATAGAATCAGACATAGAACTGCTCGTGGATATTATAAAGTTGGTGACTAAGCCAACCCACATGCCAGAGCCAAGGATGCTAGTATCATTTATAGTGTCATGCTTTTGCACTATGTTCTGTCAGAAAGTAATAAAGTGCTTTATCCAGTATGTGTTTGATATTAGCCAATCACAGACGACTGAGGTTCTTTCAGGCATTTTGAGTAAACTTACACTACAAGAAATACGATGGATAATAAATAGCCTGATACAGCAGGTCTGAAAACCTTGATTCCACCTCTGCATCTCACATTTACTAGACAGGTAACGTTGCTCAAAGAATAGACCTTTCTCGGATTCTTTTCCTCATCTTTAAAAGAGAAAAAAAATCTGACATTAGAGTATAAAGGGTCCCTACTAGTTTTTGTATACAGAGTTTTACTAGAACACAGCCATCCCATTTGTTTACATATTGTCTGTGTCAGTTTTTGAGCTACAACATGAGCTGAGTAGTTGGAACAGAGACTTTATAACCCACCAAGTGTGAAACATTTACGTAAGGCCTTTTACAGAACAAGTCGGCTGACCACTGGATTAAGTGATCACTGAGGACACTGTCACACTTTGTATGTGTCTAACTCCAGGAAAGGAGAGTGAGAAAGGGGAGAAGGTGTCGTCAGAGTTACAAATCTAAGTAAAAGACCCAGAGCGCACCTTGCAAGCAATCCACAAGTCAATTGTCCTAACAGTGAAAGGTGCAGCACCCCCTACTGGCCAGGAGGACTTTTTGCATGTAATGTGGGCAGGACGATACAGAGAAAGATAAAAGCTTTGCGCGGGTGTCATACCGTAAGACTCGTGTTCAATATGATGGTCGCTGCAAACCAGCAGGGAAGTTTCTGTTTGCCCCGATGCCTTTGAATTCATAAAGCACATGCTTTAAGTAGAGAAACGTGGGGGAACTTGGGTCCTCCAGCTAGAGTGTAAAACTTCTTGGGAGAGAAGTAAGACTGAGAGGACAGGGAAAGCATGTTGAAAAGAACTTAATCATGGCGAGCGAGCCAAAGCTAATAAACATTGCTGGATGGGTTCTCATGGTCTCAGACAGTGGGTGAGGATGGTTATTGTTGCAATTGCAGTAAATCATACTAATCCCAATGCCAAAAGCCACTTTGAATGATGAAGTGAAGCAGCCTGCGATGGCGACCAGGAGGCTCTGAGTTGCTGCCCCAGCCGGGTGGGGCTGCTGTCAGCCCTCGCAGGCAAGCTCTGGATCCTATCTTAGGGGCCCAACTCTGCCTTCAGAGGAGACTTGCGGAACTGGCAGATTTCAGTTTGGTTTGGAGTTTTGTTGTGTGTGTCTTGGCAGGAGGTGACCCTCCTCCATCCACGGAGCGCCCCGGATTAATGGCTAAAGTAACACCTACTGGCGGGACCGACCCAGGCTCAGAGCAGACTTTCTGCTGTTGATTCATGACTCCTCTTGACTCACAGCCTCATTCCGTTTTGTTGGCTGTTTGAGGCTCCTGTCCTAACGTCCAAACTTCGTGATATGAAAAACACCCTGAGGAGTAGGTGTGCTCTCCTTCCCAGCATGGAGCACGTGCTCTGTAGTGGGGAAACCTTGTGGGGAGACAAGAGGACTAGTTGTTTTGCACGGTAGTGAATCCCAGGGCAAAAAATAAAATTAGCTTTAACTCACAAAGTATTGATCTGGGCGCTTTCTTTCTTAAGTTGCCTTGAACTTCTGCTCAGAATATTGGGAAATGGTTGAAATGAGGTCCTAGGAACCTAAACCCAAATGGAAACTTGGGTTTGTCCCTTTTAGCATCGATGAATTGAAGTGAGAGTTGCCACAACCTCGATGTGTTTGCTTCTCCTCCATGATAAATATTTTTGGGAATAAGGTTGGATAAGGAAATATATGACTAATATGTTTGTTTACTTATATATATTTTGCCCTTTCTCTGAACCCAAATTGTGCCAAAATGTTCTATATTCTTCTACTTGGTAGAAGGGTGGAGATATTTATTTCACCCCAATCTCTCTTGGGAATCTAAAGAAAATAAAAATGTTTCCTGAACATTTTTAAAATGGGTTAATTTACCTTGGAACGTGGCAATTACACTCTGCTACAGATAAAGCATTTATTTATACCACTGGTGGACACTGAGTACTGTGAATTTTCTTCATTTTTGAAGGCTATAATCCCCAAACCAAAGGAATGGTGTGCAGCATCTATTGAATCTTAGTCCTTCCACTACAACGACGCTAAAAAACAGAAGAAATAGGAATGAAAAATGAACTGAATTTCAGGTAAAGTAAACAATAAGTTCCCACTATGCAAAAGGGCTTGCAAAATGGAACTGCCAGGCACATGACTCTGCCTGTGTGTGTTTGTGTGTGTATGTGTGTGTGGGGGTGAGAAGTATGGGGAACCTGAGTGAGGAACCAGGCCTGGAGTGTAGATGCAGGAGAGAGGGTTCTGGAGTTCACGACTTTTGGAATGGGAATGATTCCATGTCTGCTAGAGCTCTTTTGTGGCTTATGCTTGCTGGGCTGTGTAAGGGCAACAGCCATCACCTGTGAGTTTTTAGGCAGAAAATCTGACCTGGTCCTCCTTTGTCCCTGTTGGAGTTATAGAAAAAACTGAATGTTGGCACATATGAATGGGGAAAAAATGGACTTGTGTGCTGGGTCTCTGAGAAGACAAAGGCAATGAGATCCACTTAGGCCAACCCTTCCCCACCACCTCTTACCTGTCTTGGCCAAGGATACTAGGCACTGAAAGGTACTCCACGTTCCCAAATGAATACTTGCCTGATAAGTTGCTTGATTATCCTGTAGTCTGGGCAACATTTCTTATTTCTGCAGCAACTTAATTCAACTGAAATTTCCCCTTCGTGGGTCACCTTAAAGCAAAGATCTCAAAGATGTTAAAATCACCCACTAAAGTTAATTATTTTCCATGTGACCTAGACCTCAAAGAAACAGACTTGTTTTCATCTCACCTTCTCACCCTCCATGAGTAGTAGCTGTATATGGACTACGGGAATTCCCATGGAATCACCGTTCTGAAAGGAGAATCTAGCTGGAGCTGTGACCTTGGCATTGGAATTCATTTCAAAATTGACACTCCAGGGGAACTTTCCATATGCCCCACCTCCAAGGCACAGTGCACACTTCTAAAAGTCTCAAAGACATTATTTATAACAGTGTCTGACAAATGGTGGCACTGCACCAAAACGTGTAGTGTGGATTTTCCTCTTGTTGGCTATATTTGCAATTTTGAGCCTCCCAGGCACACAGCAAAGTCTTACTTTCTATGTGAGCCAAGAAATTTCATCAAGCTGATACTGCCTGAAGGGATGGAGAATTGAGGACCTTGTTTGCACGAGTAGGTGGTCAATACATATTTATTCAATAAAATATTTTTGCTTTTAAATAGAAGTTGAGTTTATAGGGAGGTGTTGTTTTAAGAGAAGCAAAGTGACTTGCAGAGAGGTCCACTGTCTTTAGTTAGCTCTTTAAACTTAAGCAGTACATTATCAAGTTGACATTTTTAAAAAAGATAGTACCTGATATTGGCGAGGGGTTGGGAATGGACATACTGCTTCTACATTGCCAGTATGAGTGCAAATTGTTAAGGGCTTTTGAGTAAAAGTATTTGTGTACTATAATAAAGTAATACCTCTTTTAATAATTTATCCTAAGGATGTAATCAGTGATACAAGTAGAATTATATACACAAGGATTTTCATAACATCATTCTAAAAATGAAAAAATGGAAATAATAAAATGTCCAATAGAAGGGGGTAGTTAAGTAAATTATCATAGATATTCTACAAACATAAAAATAATTTTTGACAACTACTTGATGTCAAAAACGATTGTTATCTGAATATAATGTTAAGTGAAATAAAAAGCAGGGAATGAAACTAGAACTAATGAAATAATTTTAGTAAATAATATCTGTAGGAAAAGGATTAAAAGAACATAATTACCAATATATGTTGGTTTATATCTGGCTGGTAAGATCGTAGAAATTTTTCTTTACTTTTCTCTACTCATCATGTTTTCAACAACAAACAAAGCATTTTAAATTTACACTTAATAATTAACTCATAATTTTAAAAATTCCTAAATGGAATTTTTGTTTGAAGAACTAAGAAATTTATTAAAGGATATAAACAAAAGTAACATTATTTATTTGACTAGGCCCTGTTTTATCCATGAAAGTTGAGGCCTCTTATAAGAAATACATATGATAAAATGACAAAACATAATTAAAAAATCAGGATTTAAGAAAAAATAAATTTGAATGCAATACCAAGACTAAAAGGTAAAAATAGAACCCAGACCTATAGGCCAAAAAAGCATACCTTATTGCATTAATTGATCCATAAATTGGATGATGTTTCCTAGTGGCTGAAGCAAAGAAGGAAAGTGCCTGAGCAGTGGGTATGATTTTTGCTGTGCCTTAGCAGTAAAAATTTCCTTAGGGGAAGCAAAGTTTATCAGCTCCCAGCTTGAGAGGCATTAATGTGGGACTTTGTCTGTGAGATGAGGTGAACAGATTTCTTGGCAATTTCCCTACTGCAGAAGTTCCAATAAGACTATATTTGTAGCACCCATCAGTGAAAGTCAATGGTGGGTCTTAAAACATGATTTAGTGAGTAATTGTATGGGGCCTGCCCTACTTTGGGTTCTTCCTAAAACAGAGCCCAAGACAAGGACTAGTGTAATCACTTCCCCTTGAGAGTAAGGTGGCTTAGTGACTTGCTTTTAACAAACAGAATATGGCACAGATTATGGGATAGCAATTCCATGATTATAGTCCAAGAAATTGCTAACTTTTGTCTTGTTGGCAAACTCTGTCCCTTGATGGTTTTGATGAAGTAAGTTGCCATGTTGGGAATGCCCACATGGCAAGGAACTGAGGGCACACTCCAATCCAAAACCAGCTAGAAGCTGAGGCCCTTAGTCCAGCAGCTCAGAGGAACTGAATCTTGCTAACAACTGTGTAAGTAAGCTTGGAAGCAGATCCTTCCCCAGATGAGCATTCAGATAAGACTCAACCCTACGTAATAAGTTGAGTGTACCTGATAAGTTGATTGTAGCTTCATGAGAAACCATAAACCAGAGGACCTGGCTAAGCCAGGACTGAAATTCTGATCCACAGAAACTATGAGATTATAAACATGTGTTGTTTTAAATCACCAATTTTGTGGTAATTTGTTATGCAGAAATAGATAATTAAATACAGTCATATTCCTAAGATCCTAGGACTTGCTGACTAAATCCACAACCCACACTATAAGTCACTTCCCTACTAGCTCTGAATTTACCTCCTTTAGGAAGTTTTTCTTAACTACCCTAGACATAATGAACTCAGTTTGTGACCTTTATCACTGTTAATGTTTTATTTAAGCACTTTCCATATTGAATTGTAATTTTCTGTTTACTTATCTATCTCCTGTTAGACAGTGAACACTTCAGGGACAGGGACTGATTCATCTCTCTAATGCTGGCACCTAGCCCAGACCTGACACCCAGGTTCTTTGGAAATATTTATTGAGTTAATGAATAATTAATTGCTTTGTGAGACAATGTAAACATACCAACAATTCAATTCTAAAGATGTTTATTGATGTCTGCAATGTGGCAGCTGTTGGGCCAGGGGCCAGGGACTCGAACTTAAGCAAATCACTATTTCCTATCTTAAAGTTGCCAGAGCCTAGAAGAGGAGACAGGCAAGCAAAAAACTGTCAACACAGAACAGTAAGCAACATCAGAGAGGTGTGAAGTTGAACCATGTAAAACAGCTATTCATGTAGGTCAGAAACAATTGAATAAGGGCAATGTCTTATGATTCAGCCTATTAAAGATTCTGCTGCCAGGACACAAGGTAGAATAATTAGTGAATCTGATACGGTCTTGATCTGTAAGGGTTTTAATTCTAAGGTTTGGAAAAATGACAAAGACATTGAAGTCCTCAGCAGACGGTAGAGGATACCTTGGACAGATAAACCAGAGCAGATAATCCAGGCACAGACTGGCTGGGTCATTTCCCACAGGCTGCAAGCACAGTGCCAGCTGGGGCTGCAGTCCTCCTGAGGTAAGACTGGGGCAGGATGCACTTCCAAGCTCACTCACATGGCTGTTGGCAGGATTCAGTTTCTCACAGACTGTTGGACTTAGGGCCTTGGTTCCTTGATGGCTTTTGGATGAAGGCCACCCATATCTTTGCCATGTGGGTCTCTCCATAGGGCAGCCTGCATCATGGCAGCTGAATTCCATCAGAGCAACACGTGAGAAAGCAGGAGGGAAGTCACAGCTCTTTATGACCTAATTTTGGCCGTAACATCTTGTCACCTTTGCAATGTTCTATTTGTTAAGTTTTGAAGCAAATCAAGTCACATTGAATGTAGGTCCAGCCACAGTCAAGGGGAGGGCATTACTGGAAGCCATCTCAGAAGTTCCCTGCCACAGCAAGCAATTTCCAGACTCTACCAGGGACTTTTGTCTTCATGGTGAGAATCTCCTGTTAAACCATAAGGAAATGTTCTGGTAAGCAGGGAAGGGAACAAAAGGATTACAGTCAGAAGAATAATCGCTGATTAATACCTAGTCGTGTGCTCAGAGTTATATCATGCAGAAGGGAAATAAACTCCAAGGAGCATGAAGTCAATACCCCCTTCTACCTTCCCAGCCCATTTACAGATGAGTGAAGGAAAAGCCCTGGCTGCTCTAATGAAGTCAGCACTTTTGTAATCATAAGACAGCAGTGAATTAGGATGCAGTTCAGGTTGTGTAAACTGAGTCTTGGTGCCCACCATTGAGTTATACTACTCAAGGGGCTCAGGTCTGACTACTCCTGGGAGCACATGCTCAGCTCTGGGCCACGAGTTTTAAAAGACACTCTGGGGATTACTTGAAGAGGACCAGCCAGGATTTAGAGAAGCCTGGACTCTACATGAGAAGAGGAGCAGTAGGAAGGATTGAGGCCTCTTGCATATGGAAGAGGAAACTACAAGGGAACATGAAAACCATTTTAATCAGTCCAGGAACAAGTGGACTTGCTCTGTCTAGCTTCGGAAGACAAGAACTAGAGAGAGAGAAGAAGTTGTCGGGGCAGTGGGGGCTAATTTCAAGGCCTCTCTCTCACTAGAGGTGTATGAGCTGAGTGAGGCTGGGTTATGTGAAATGATGTTGGTGCTTTCTTGATTAAGTAAGAGAACCCTAACTCTAGCAAGCTTGAGCAGAAGGGGCTCCCACAACTGAACATGGGGAGAACAGAGACACTGGAAATGGCC